TTCCAGGCTGGGACAGAACTGAGTGCCCAGGGAGCCCCTGGGGGGAAAAGAGCCATAAAATCCAATCATGGGGGAATATTCCTCGGTCTGGCTGTGGGGCAGGAAGAGCTGGAATTGTGGGAGGAGAGGGAATTGCTGGAGCTGGATGAGGAGAGTTTTCCACGGGAGCAGAGCAGAGGAGCTGCTGCAGGGTCCAGGGGGAAAAGGTCCCACCTTGGCCATTCCAGGAGATGTTTGTCCAGTGCCTGCAGAGGCTGGGCAGGCAGAGCATTCCCATGGAATCCTGGATGGGTTGGCTTGGAGGGACCTCAGATCCCATCCAGTCCCATCCCTGCCCTGGGCAGGGACACCTCCCACCATCCCAGGGACACCTCCCAACATCCCAGGCTGCTCCAGCCTGGCCTTGGACACTTCCAGGGATGGGGCATCCTCTGGGAATTCCATCCCAGAGTCCCAGGGCCTCCCCACCCTCCCAGCCAGGAATTCCTTCCCAATATCCCATCTCTGGCAGTGGGAAGCCATTCCCTGTGTCCTGTCCCTCCATCCTTTATCCCCAGTCCCTCTCCAGCTCTCCTGGAGCCCCTTAAGGCCCTGGAAAAGGCTCCAAGGTGTCCCTGGAGCCTTCTCTTCTCCAGGGGAACATTCCCAGCTCTCCCAGCCTGGCTCCAGAGCAGAGGGGCTCCAGAATCCTGGAATCCCAGGATGGTTTGGGTGGGAAGGGACCTTAAAGCTGTGGCTGCCTCATCCCTGGAAGTGCCCAAGGCCAGGTTGGATCCCCCTGGGATGGTGGAGGTGTCCCTGCCCAGGGCAGGGGTGGAATGGGATGGGATTTAAGGTCCAACCCAAACCAGTCTGGGATTCTGTGGATCTTCTGCTGGAAAACTGCACTACAGTTGGAAAACTGGCAATTCCTCTGCTTTCTAGTTTGTACCAAGGCAGAGTGGAAAGAGAGGGAGATGTTTCCATGCCTCTGCAGGAATGGGAGCCCCTGGAAACTCTGTAGACCTTCTGCTGCCTTGGGAATTCAGGCAGGGCTGAAATGGGCTTTTACAACTCCCAGCTTTGCTGCTTCCCTGGCTTTGTGTGGATTAAACCCTCGGATATTCCCATTTCCAGCCCTTGGTTCAGCCTGGGGCAGCGTTGGCACTGCCTGACCCACTCCCTCCTCCCTCCTGCAGAGCTCCTGGTTGTTATTCCTCATTTAATTATTATTAATTATTTAGTGCCTGTCACTTTGCTCCGGAATCAGCATTTTCCAGCCTTATTTTCAGGTTTTTCCCAGTTTTTTCCAGCCTTGTTTTCAGGTTTTCCCAGCCCTGCCATCGGATTCCATCAGGGCGCTTTGTGTGAAATGTTGAGTCAGAGCCTTTGCTTTGTCTCCATCAGCCCTTTGTTCTCCTCCCTTGCCGGAATGTTCCCAGAGATCTCAAAGCCCCATCCAGGATCTCCCAACTCCCATCCCGGACCTCAGACCCCGTCAGGGGCTCCTGTTTGTTTGTGCAGCCTCTGACAGAGCCCTGGGTTCCTTTGAAGGGTTTGAGACCTGCTTTCCTTGTGTCCCCTGAGGAACTGCCCCAGGAAACTTCCCATCCCTCTGTTGTGGTGTGGGAATGCCTTGGGAGAAGGGATTGTTTCCTTTGCCCCGTTTTCATGGATCTGGATGTCCCAGGTGTTTGGGCAGCGCGGACAGGATGGGTTTGGTCGGGAAACTTCAGGCACAGAACCCGGCAGGGAGGAGGAAGTGGCTGAAAATATCCCCCTTTCTAAAAATAACCCAGTTCTGAGGCTTCTCCTGGCATTCCTGCTCTTCCCACCTGGATCCTGGGATGCAGGATTGAAATGAGGGGGAATAGAGACAGACACAGGGAGAGGAGAGCAGCTTGGAACTGGCTCCTTCCCTCCTTGCCTGGAAATCCCTTTGCTGTCCCACGGGTCTGTGGGCGTCACTAATGTGATGGCAGGAATTAAACCAGGCACTGAATGTAGGACCAGGGGCCTTTCTCTGCTTCCTGCTTTTCTTTCCCTGATTTTTTGACTCGGATTTGCTCAATGAGCCACAGCTCCAGGGGTTTGTTCTTCAGCCCTGATCATGGAAGGGCCACTCCAGCCTTTTGTGCCACAGTGGGGCAGGAACAGGGTCACTGCTCAGCACAGCCTGTCCCAGGCACTGCAGCCCTCCCAAAGCCAGGCTTGAGTCATCTCCAGCCAAAGCCAGGCTTTAGTGATCTCCATCCAAAGCCAGATTTTAGTGATCTCCATCCAAAGCCAGGCTTTAGCCAATCTCCATCCAAAGCCAGGCTTTAGCCAGGCTCCATCCAAACTGAGCGAGTGCTTTCCCTGCTTTTCCCTTCCCATTTTCCTGGGAGCTTCCCAGTTTAGAACCAGCCCAGTGACTGAGGCAATGTATGGGTTTTTGTGTAAACCCAGCTCAGTTAATCCTGCAGCAAAGCATTAATCCCGAGTTAACCACTGAGGAGGAGGCCAGAATTTCGGGTTGAGCTTTCCCGGCTGTGCCTTTGCTCAGGATCCCCCTTGGCAAAGCTGTGGTTGCTTTGTTTTATAATCCCATTTTTCCACTTAGTTTCCATTTTAAGGACTTTTTTAGTCCCTGTTTAGGACTTTTGGGAACACTGGTGCCAATCCAGTGTCTTTTGGGTGGCAAAACTTGTGGCTTTTTGGGAATTCATTCCCGTTTATTCCTCCCCTTGCTCCCTGTATCTACCTGTACCTGCACAGACATGGAGTCAGGTTGGGTCGTGTGGCTTCCAGAGGTTTCCAACCTTCCCCACCCTCCCTCAGGGCTTCCATCATTCCTGAGGCCACACAAAGAGCACCAGGAAAACTGGGAATTGGGACAGGGACTCCTTGGGGGGGCGGAGGAGGTGTTTTAGCCAAGGCCCAGCTGGAGGCAGGAGAGCGTGGGGCTGGAACGGGATCCAGCTGCCCTGGAGCCCTGGAGCCTTCCCTTCTCCAGGGGAACATTCCCAGCTCTCCCAGCCTGGCTCCAGAGCAGAGGGACTGCAGAATCCTGAATCCCAGGATGGTTTGGGTGGGAAGGGACCTTCAATCCCATCCAGTCCCAGCCCTGCCCTGGGCAGGATCCATGGATTCTTCACAGATGTTGGGAAAGTTCAGCCAAAGCTGTTGGAGGAAAACTGGGAGAAGACTCCAATGAAAGGAGAGATTCCTTCCAATGTCTTTCTGCTGGGAAGGAATTCCTCCCTGGGAGGGTGGGGAGGGGCTGGGATGGAATTCCCAGAGGATGCCCCATCCCTGGGCGTGCCCAAGGCCAGGTTGGATCCCCCTGGGATGGTGGGAGCTGTCCCTGCCCAGGGCAGGGGGGAATCAAAGGATCTTTGAGGTCCCTCCAGCCCAAAGCACTCCCAGATTCCATGATCCACAGGACAGCAGGAGGGGCATCAAAGCCCTTGTTGCCCTTCCCTTGTCCCTGCTCTGGGGGATATTCCAAATATCCCAAATAGTCTGTATGGGATTTGGCCGCAGCCTCGGGACTGTCCCTCCTGCTCCTGGTTCTGCTGCTGAAACCAAATTATTTTTGCCCCAAAGCCCTGCATTTTGGCCAGGCTGGAGATCCCCAAATGAGAGAATCCACTTCCAAAGCCCTGGGAGAAAACCTGAGCTGATCCTGAAATGATTCCATGGGCTGGGAGGGTATTGAAGGCAACAGGCAAAAAAATTCCATATTTTATGAATATAAAAAAATAGTATAGTATATTATATATCGTGTATATTAATATATAATATATTAGATTTTATTTTATATTTTATATAGGTTATATATTTTATATTTTATATGTTTTATAGCCTGTATTTTATATTTACATTATATATTATGTTTATATTTATATAATATGTTTATATTTACATTATATATATATGTGTGTTATACATATAATATGTATTTTATTTATGTGTCTATAAAATCACAAATTATATATATGTAATATATATAAGGTATAAAAAATATACAACATTATATATATATAATATATTATGTATAATGTTATTATATTATACATATGTATGTTATGTATACATATATAATATAAAGTATATAACACCATTATATATAGTATATAATGTTATATATAACATTATGTATATTATATATAGAATATATAACACACCAGCAAGTCCATCCTCTTTGTTTCACTTGTATGTTTCTTTACTTCTATTTATTTTTATTTATTTCTATTTCTCTCTTGATTATTACTTCATTTTATTAATTATTCATTACTATTTTATTATTTATTTTTATTGTATACATTAATTATATGTTAATATATTTATTTCATAGTTATTATTTTTATTATTATTATTTTGTTTCTTTTTTTTTACAATTTATTATTATTTCCTTTTTTCCTATTTATTTCTTTTCCTTTCCTATTTCTTTTCTTCCCCTTCCCTCTATTCATTTCCACTCCCACTTTTCCCTCTTTCTTCCTCCAGGACTTTTTCATTCCCTTTAAAAAAACCCCCAAATTCCCTCTTTTCCTCCAGTTTTCCACCCCCACAGTTGGTTCCTCCCTCCTGGTTCCAACCTTTTCCGTTCCGGCTCTCCAGGGATTTGTGTTTCCTTTTTAAACTTGGTGCCTCAGGGAGAATATTCCGATTAAAGGCAGGGAATCAAAGGCCTTTAAAAGGCCAATAACACCCAAAGGCATTAAAACACCTCCTGAGCATTCCAGCATCTCTGATAAATCCTGTTTTTTTGGTGGAGAAGGTTCAAACTGGATATTTATTCCCACCCTGAGCAGTGACAGTCCACCTTCTCCTCTGGATAACTGGGATAACCAGGGTCCATTTCACCGATAAACCCCAAACACTGATTTTCTCCCTAAATTCTGAGGGAATTCTGCCCTTTTCCCTGGATTTTGGGTGCATGACAGAGCTGCTGTGCTGAGCTTGCAAATAACAGCCTGGAATTGCTTCAGTGCTCGGAATAATTGGCTTTTTTTGGCTCTTTTTGTACTGATCAGAATTGATGTGACTGAAGTGCAAATCTTCATAATAATCATGCATTTGCTGGCAGTGATTGGAGGACCTCCTTTTTGGCAATCTCTGGTAATTCTGCTCCTCTTCTTACTTTATCCTGATTTATTTTGCTTTTCCCTGGATGAATTCCCTGCACAGGTTGATTTGGGAGGAGATTTTCCTCGGAAGAGGGAAATGGGAATTTTTGGAGTCGATCACGTGGAATTCCCTGGTTCTGGCTGGGCCAGAGCTACTAAAAAAAAAAAAAAGGTTATTTTACACCTGGAAAAACATCAAATATTGGCCAGATTTCGATGGGCCTTCAGGGAAATCCTGGGAAAACCTCCCTGGATTTCAGGCAGTGGAGGAGCATTAAATTGGGATGAGGATTTGGGGATAATTGGGCCTGGCTGGGGCTGACTCTGATTTATATGAGGGAAAAACCCCAAATTGTCTTTTTTTCCCTTTTAAATTGGGATTAAATGATTAAATGAATGTTTGATTTATATTTATATCTATATCTATATTTATATGTTTTATCTCTATATATAATTTATATATATTTATATCTATATTTAAATCTATTGCATCTATTTTATATCTAATTTTGCGTCTATTTTATTTATATCTATATATCTATTTTATATATGTTTTAATACCTACTTTATATGTTCATATATATAAAACCATATAATCTATAGATATAGATGTGTTCCTGTGGGCTCTCCAGGCCATGTCAGCTGGCACTTGATGGGCTTTGTTCTTAATTATAATTATAGTTAATCACTAATCACAGCAACGTTCCTAACCCTGGAATGTCTGATGAGATTTGGGATTTGGGGGTGGGAGTTTTGATTTGCTCTGGTTTTGGGGGAGGAGGGAAATAACGGGATCCAAAGGGGGTCGTGCACTCAAACATTCCACTTTCCCCTGGGAAGAGCAGGTGGGAAAAATGCGGGATTATGGTTTTGGGGAATTGTTGCTTTAGTTCATTTCCTTTCCTTGTATCCCATAAAACTGGGTGTCCCTGTCCTGGCTCCCTCCTTTCTGGCCCTATAAATTCCCTTTTAAAGCCTCTTAAACACTCCTAGAGCTGGAGAATTCCTGGGAGATGGTGAGTTTGGGATCACTGGGAAAATGGGAATGAAGGGAGCAAGTTTAGGGCAACTTGTTTAATCCATGGATTATGTAGTTTATATTCCATATACTGATTTATTTTACTGTTGAAAGCAAGAGAAAAGTCCTGCAGTTCCTGGGATTTTCCTCCCCAAAGGCACCAAGGATTCGGAAATGTGGAGCTGGAGGTTGTTGTTCCTCAGGCAGAGTCCATGGACAGCTCCACATTCCAGCTGGGATCCAGCCCTGTGGGAAGGACTCCTGGGACCCAGGTTTCCCAGCTGGGTGTGGGATTTGATGTCTCTTCCCTGACCCTCAGCTGGTGGAAATGGGCTCTTTTCCTGCCCATTCCCTCATTATTTGGGGTTTGAGATCCCAGAACTCCGATGGCACCAACTCTGCAGTTCCTGGCAGCAATTTTCTGGGAAAATATCCCAGCCTTGCTTTAATCCAGGTTCTTCCAACCTCTCCTGACCCTGTTCCCTTCCTGCTGCCACGTGTTCCTATTGACATGCCGGGATTTTCCCAACCAAAATTTGGAATTGTGGAATCCTGGAGTGGGTTGGGTGGGAAGGGACCTTCAATCCCATCCAGCCCCAGCCCTGCCCTGGGCAGGGACACCTCCCACTATCCCAGGCTGCTCCAGGTTTATCCAACCTGGCCTTGGGCACTCCCAGGGATGGGGCATCCTCTGGGGAATCCATTCCAGGGCCTCCACATCCTACCAGGAAGAATTCTTTCCCAATATCCCCTCTATCCCTGCCCTCTGGCAGTGGGAAGCCATTCCCTGTGTCTTGTCCCTCCATCCCTTGTCCCCAGTCCCTCTCCAGCTCTTTCAGGAACAGCTCCCTGTGCCAGCTGCTCCAAGGGCAAACCCCTCTGCTCCAGGTTTCCTGGAATCCTGGGATGGTTGCGGTTGGGAGGGACCTTAAAGCTCATCCCATTCCACCCCTGCCCTGGGCAGGGATGCCTCCCACCATCCCAGCTGGCTCTCACCTGGAATGCTGCTTTCCTGGGATGTCCCTGGATCCAGCAGCTCCCTGGAGTCTCAGAGGGTTGAACACAGAATGAGATTTCCCTGGAAAACCTCTGGCTGGTGACACTTCCCTGAATTCCTGACGTAGTTTTTGAGAAGTTCTGCATAGATTTGACTTGATGACACTTCCTAGAATTCCTGGTTTTTGTGAAGTTCCATGTGGATCTTTTTGTCCCTTCTCTGAATTCCTGACATGGTTTTTGGGAAGTTCCCCACGGATCTGACTTGAGATTAAACCCTTCCAGTCCCCAGGAGGGTCGGAATAATTCCCTGGGCTGCAGTGATCTATGGAATAACAGCCAAGGAATCCCCTGGTTTCACATCCAGGGGCTGCAATTCCATCCTGTGGGAACATTTCAGAGGGAAAAAGTTAAAATCATCTGATATTTCCTTGATTTTGCTGCTTCCACTTTGTCCCCATTTAGCAGCTTTTTATCCCCCTCCTCTCCCAGATCCCAGGCTGTGGCTGTTCCTCATTAGTGATTAATGATTAATGATGAGTTATTTCTGCCCTCTCAGCCCTCCCTGGTGCTGCTGCCCCTGGCAGGAGACAGGAGGGTGTTAACGAAGCAGAACTGGCCCAAATTGGGGGGTTTAACTGTGATTTCCCCCTCCTGCCCCTCCCTGAGCACCTTTCTCTGGGCTTTGTCGTGTCTGGGAGTTCTTTTCTCCACTTACCTCAGGGAAATGTCAACTCTGATGTCTCTTGACTCCTGTTTGGAGCTTGTTAGTGGTTTTTTGTGCTTATAAAAGCCATTTCATCCCATCCTTTAAATACCAAAGTTCCCTCTCTGAGGCAGAGGGACCTGCTTTCGGAAGGTTGAGGGGAGACCTTGGAAGCCCTGAACTCCTGGCATCGATGGCTGATGCCCCGTCCGTGGCCATTCATCCTTTTGCTTTATTTGCCTTTATTTTTTCTCTACAATCTTTCTTTTTTTTTTTACCTTAAAGAGGCAGCCTGAGCAAGGCAAAAATACATTGGAGTGTTGTGGAGCTGCCCCAGGCTGGGCAGGAACCTCCAGGGCAGGGTTGGGAGAGTGGGAAGGGTTCAGGCTGCTCTGCCCTGGGAGGATCAGGAGGTGAAGCTGTTGAATGTCACAGAAAACAAAAAAAAAAAATCTTCAAAATCTTCCAGAATGATCTTCAAGTTCGAGGGATGTCTGGACAAAACACACCCAGGGTGGGGTTTTGGGGTGTCTGAGGTTGGACTCGATGCTTCCAGCTCCAAATATTCCCTGGTTTCCCTCTTCTGAGAGGGAAATTAAAGCAAAATAGAGACACTTGGAGCTCCCTGGGGCTCCTCAGGGCTGGCCCTGGGGGGCTGAGCTGGGTTATTCCATGGAGTTCCACCACAACACTTCCCCAGGGAGGAGCTTTCTCGTGGTGGTCCAGATAAAGTTGGGTAGTTTGGGGCAGTTATCTCCAAACACTCCCTTCCATGAACTTCCTGGGGTTTCATTTGGGCTATTTTTTGTCGTTTCTCTTCCTCATGTTCTGCTTGAGACTTAAACCCGAAGGGAACTTTGGAAATTGGGCTCCTTTCCCCTTCTTTGACAGCCTCAGCCCTCCTGCCCCACTCAGGGACCCCAAGGTGCCTCCTCTGGGCTCTCCTCACCTCCCTGGCCATGCCCAAAGGTTCGGAGCCCCTTTCTGGAGGGTTTCTCTGGGTCTTGGTGCAGGTGGGAGTTTAGAACCAGCTCCAGGAGAGACAAGGGAGGAATTTCCCTCCCCTGGAGGGACTTGCAACTATTCTTGGTTTCTTGGCCCACTTTTGGGGGCTCTTCTCGTGTGCCTGGAGATCAGCCTGGCTTTGTGGGAGGCTTGAGGGAGGATTGGTATGGAATTGTTGGAGAACATGTCTCCCTGTGTGCCCAGGAGGAGCTGCAATCCCTGTGTTGGCAGAGCCAAGCAAATACAGCCCTGGACAAGTGGAGTGTTTGGGTGCACTGGGGAACCTGAACCCAAAGCCAGTTTGTTTGTGCATCGTTTTAACTTCTTGTCTCTCTCCCATGAAGATTCCAATCCTGAATATCCAGGTGAAAATATTCCCAGCTCTCTGTACTGTGGCAGGAACCATCTTCTCCTGCACCAACTACTTTGGTGTGATCTTCACAGGGGGAGTTGGCAAAAATGGCTCCACCATAGCAGTGAGTACCTTGTCCTGCCCCTTCCTCCTCCTCAGCCATGCCTGGCGTTTTTATTTTATTTTGTTTTATTTTTATTCTATTTTAATTATTTTATTTTGTTTTATTTAATTTTATTTTTAATTTAATTTATTTTATTTTGTTTTGGTTTATTTTATTTTTTATTTTCTTTTATTTTAAATTTAATTCCATTTAATTTCATTTTTTATTTTATTTTAATTAATTTCATTTTATTTGTGTTTTATTTTAATTTATTTTTATTATATTCTAATTAATTTCATTTATTTTTATTAATTTTTATTTTATTTTAATTAATTTCATTTTATTTTATTGTATTTTATTTTTATTTTAATTAATTTAATTTACTTTCATTTTATTTTTAAATAAAATTCATTTCTTTTTGTTTTATTTTATTTTAATTTAATTAATTTAATTTCATTGTATTTTTGTTTTATTTATTTTTAATTTAATTTAATTTTATTTAATTTCATTTTGTATTTTTTTTACTTTGTTTTATTTTAATTTAATTAATTTCATTTAATTTTATTTTATTTTGTTTTATTTTGTTTATTCCCCCTTCAGGTGAAATATTTTCCTTTCACTTCATTTCCTGGCTTGGGAAAAAAACCCAAGTTAATATTGTGTGTGTGTGTAAGAAGAGCAGATTTAGGAGTCAGAGGTTTAAAATGGCTGATTGGAAGCAGTGCCAGCATTTTGATTTTGGGGGTTTGAGTTACTGACACAAACCAGGTTATACCAATACCCAAACATGCAACCCCGGGGAGCTCACACTGAAATCTGGTGCAAAGTCCCTTCCCAGGAGATTCCTCAGGGAGTTCTGGTCCTCCAGAGCTGAGCACTGTCCTTCCAGCAGTGGGACAGGAGCTGGGGAGGGTCTCCTGAGCCCCCCCTGCCCCCTGGCTCTGCTGCCTCACAGGGGTTTTCTGCCCCACACCCCAAATGCAGCCCCTCAGCTGTTCCCCCAAATCCATCCCTCAGCCCCTGTTCCCCCAAATCCATTCCCTCAGCCCCTGTTCCCCCAAATCCATCCCCCTGAGATGCTGTTCCCCCAAATCCATCCCCCTGAGATGCTGTTCCCCCAAATCCATCCCCCTGAGATGCTGTTCCCCCAAATC